GCAACCATTAGCTGAATGTACTATCAATAAAATCCTGGGTTGCAAGTACTCACCTTAATATTTAAAAAAAAAAAAAATTTATCATATATATATGTATAATTATACCCAAATATGTATGATACTTTTTGATTAATAATCAGAATTTTACTATATTTGATTTATTATAAGTTAATACAACAATTATTATTATTTTCTTAAAATTAACTCAAAGGTTTAAGATCAGATAAAATAAACCATCAGAAACTAATTGCCAATAATAATGCTAACAAATTACTTACATATATATAATATTTAATAAAGTTTTAATAATGAAATGCTACATAAAGAAAAAATCTTAACTATATAATAGTAAATTTATTTAAATATTTTAATTAATATTAATACATAAATGAGTGACGAAAAGGAAAAACCTGTAAATCATTTCACTCATTGGTGACATGCTTTACAGGTTTTCCTTTTTCGTTACTCAAATAAACGCTACTAAAAGAAACAGGATTTCAAACTTTGAATTTTCATACGCTGAATTGATTTATTATAAATTCAAAAGCCAGAAGTCTAATTTTCTTTTAATAGTACTCAAATTTAAATAAAAGACCATCACTTTGTTTATTGCTTTTGTAAATTCTTATATAAGCCAGTCTTTCCAAAATCTTAGAGGATTTAATCTTCGCTGTGTTTAACTTTCTCCAAGGGTTTTAGCTTTACTGGAAGTTTCACCAGAGTTTCGACGTTTCACCGGAGTTTCGCCAGTTTTGACTTCCGCCATTTACCAAAAATAGTTTCGCCTAACAATACTATTGCAGCACTCATATTCATATGCACGGGTAATAAAAAATCACAACAAAGGCCATTTCTGGCTTAATCAGTAACTCCAAGAAGTTGGCTATAGACTATTGCTAGTAAAGGTTAAAAATAACAATATATAATTCCCAATGCAAAAGAGGATTGAGATGTTATAAGTTCTAACTCTAAGAATTTTATGAGCAGTGTTATTTTACAAAGTATATCAATATGGATTAGAGGAATTATGTGTCACTAATAAAGATTATATTATGAGTTTAAAATTTATTTTATTAATCAATATTTATCGTCAATGTTTTCAATTTACATAAATTAGATTATTAAATAAAAGTTCTAAAAAAAAATAATTTATCCAAATTTTGCTTGATTTATTTTATATTTTCATAAATATAGCCGATTTATAAATTACCGAATTTTTTAATTTCGATCAGTTCTGGTTGATTCATTTCTGATTGTTGAATTATTGCTTCGACGGTATTGGTTGATTAATTTTCTTGTTGTTTGGTTGTTCAATTACTTCAACAGTGTTGGTTGATTTATTTCCTGGCTCTGGTTGTTCATTTACTTCGACAGGGTTGTTTGATTCATTTACTGGTTGTTCAGTTACTTTGACAGGGTTTGTTAGTTGTTCAATTACTTTGACAGGGTTGGTTGGTTGTTCAATTACTTCGACAGGGTTGGTTGGTTGTTCAATTACTTCGACAGTGTTGGTTGGTTGTTCAATTACTTCGACAGGGTTGGTTGTTTGTTCAATTACTTCGACAGGGTTGGTTAGTTGTTCAATTACTTCAACAGGGTTGGTTGATTCATTTTCTGGTTGTTCAATTACTTCAATTATTTCGACAGTACTGGTTGATTCATTTCCTGGTTGTTCAGTTACTTCGACAGGGTTGGTAGGTTGTTCAGTTACTTCGACAGGGTTGGTAGGTTGTTCAGTTATTTCGACAGGGTTAGTAGGTTGTTCAGTTACTTCGATAGGGTTGGTAAGTTGTTCAATTACTTCGACAGTGTTTGTTGGTTGTTCAATTACTTCGACAGAGTTTGTTGGTTGTTCAATTACTTCAACCATTTCGACAGTGCTTGATGATTCATTTTCTGGTTGTTCAATTGCTTCGACAGTATTGATTGATTCATTTGCTGATTGTTCAATTATTTTAATTGTGTTTGTTGACTCATTTTCAGGTTGATCAATTACAATTGTATCACTAATTACTATAGTTTTCGATTCATCACTATCAGTTGGACTAAAAATTGCAATAGTTTTTGAATCATCAATATCCATTTCATTAGTTACAGAATCCTTTTTTAATTCTTTATAAATTTTTTCCAAGAATTCAGCAGCTCTAGATTGATTTTTTAAGGCAGCCAATTTAATATATAATTCAGCCTTTGTTTTATTAACAGGAACTTTAAGTTTTCCATTCCAATAAATATCACCTAGATTATAAAGAGCAGTAGAATTTCCACGATCTGCAGCCATTTTCATATATTTCAATATTTCATTAACATTTAAATTACGTTTATCTTCTATAAGAGCAAATGCATAACGAAGTTGAGCATCTGCAACACCATTATCAGCAGCTTCTTTAAAAAGTTGACGAGCTGCTCTAAGATCTTTTTCAGTACAATATCCAGATGTTAGATAATATCCTTTCCAATACTTTGCAATATTATTACCAAGATTTGCATGGTCAGAAAAACATTTCCAAGCATCCTTATAATTTTTCTTTTTATGAGCTCTTAAACCATCTTCAAGAGGTATTAAGATTTGGATTGAAGAATCAGAATTAAGTATATTAAACTCATTAGATACATCAAATAGACTTCCATTAAAACTTTGTGGAATAAGATGAGAACTATTTCGATTATGATTTCGAAGGAATTCCAAATCTAGCATGATATTATCTTGAAAAACATATTTATTATATAATTCATTAAACTTTAACTGTAACTCTAGATCCAAGGGACGGGATGAAGGATCTTCTTCCCAAGCTTAACAACAAAAGATAATTAGAAATTTAATTAGGTACGTTTTAATTAATGAAAAAAATTATTACCTGATTTAATAATTTTAGCAAGTTCTCTTGGGATTGGAGATGGGTGAAAAGCAATTTCAAGAGTTTCACGTTTTTTATTTTTAATGTGGTCTAGTATTTTGGCTAGACCCATGCCTTCGTAAGGCACTTTTTGATAACAAAGTTCCCAGAGTAGCATACCAAAACTGAAATCAAGAATATTAAATATATATATATATATATTGAGTAGATTTAAAATAAATCAAATAAATTAAAATTATTAAATTTTACCTAAACATTTCGGATTGATTATTATACTGAGGGATAGGATTTTTCATTCGTTCTGGAGCCAACCATCGAAATGTTTCATCCATATTTACATAAACAAATCCTTTTTCTCTATATCCACGATAAATTGAAATTTTAGGTTCAAGCTTATCTGTAATCTGTTATTTATAAAAAATTATAAAATTATAAAATATTCGAATTATCCTTATGATCATATTTATCTCCGATAAAAAATTTGATTTTTTTTTGAATGTTAATAAATGAAATGCATACCAAAATGTTTTTGCAACGAATATTATGATGATGTATTCCACTTTGGTGCATAAAAACAAGACCATTAAATATTTTATAAGCGAGTTTTAACTTTGTAGGCCAATTAATCTTATAATGTATATACAATTCTTCTAAATTTCCATATTCAGCCCATTCAAGAATCATAGCATTATCAACTGAAAGTCCATAAAAAGTGATAATAAATGGACTTGATCCTAATAAATGAAGGATTTCAAATTTGAATGGTTTTTCTGTTTTATCAAAAACTTTTTCACAGGCAACTTCTTTTCCACGAAAGATTTTTTTCATAATTGAACCACGTCTATTATCTTTTGAAGGAGGTACATCATTTAGTTCCTCAGAATTTATTCGAGGTATTTTACATAGTTTTCTTGGAACATTTGAAGCTATAATATCAGGTGTGGCATTTTTTAAAGAATGTTTTGCTGTATTAAATGCAGCAATCTCTGTAGTTAATGTTTTAATTTCAGACTCCATTCCATCCAAAGACTATTAATTAATTAATTGATTAATTGATTAATTATGTAAGGATTGTATGGTTACAATATTATAAAAAAAATAAAAATCAAAATTTACCTTTTTCAAAATTAAAATATCGTAGGCTACATCTTGTGCCTCCTTTTCTCTTTGTTCAGCATTGTAAACAGCTGCAGCTAAATCTAAATCATAACAAGAATCTTCGAATTCTACAACATTTGCATAAAAAGTATCTATGACCATATTGACATTTAAAAACTTTCGGAACCATGATAATTGTGTAATTTCTTCAGCAAATATCATGATATTTTTCAAAACATTGGTAAATTTGACCCAAGTAAGATAATAATCTTGTCGTCGGAAATTTTTAACATTAGCTTGACGTTTTCTTTGCAAATTCTTTATATAAGTTTGTGCTATTTCAACACGAAACAATAACGCACAACAAATTTTTTTACTACATTCAGCAGACGCATATATTGTTAGCATTTTTTCAATTACTTCTGTGACCGATTTAAATAAAGAATTGAATGGTTGAATATTGTCATCCACAGATTGATGAGCTATAATTTTACTATCAACTCCTTCTGTTAAATTAAGATCTATTTGCATTTCTTGTAAGTGATTATTATCCGTTCTGGGTTCTAACCGAATTTCTGGTGAATGCTCATTTATAATTATATTAATTTCTCTGTGAGTTTTAAATTCTCTTTCAAAAATTAAATTATATGATTTGACTTGTTCCTTAGTTTTAGAATATTTTTCTGTAATTGATCTTTTACTTTCTCTACAACCGATTTTTCTTTTGAAAATAGGAACATAAAAATTATATTCAATTATAATTTAAAAATAAAATTTTATACATGAAATTTATACTTACATTCTAGTAAATTTACAGGTATTTAGCTCTTGAAAATAAATCAAAAAATATATTAAATATTAATGTTTTCTATACTTACGCCCTTTGAAATTAATAATTAGTAAATTATCTATCATTGACATTATGATGATTTGATGAATTTTAGTAGTAGTTTCATACTTACTTATTAACAGAAACAGATACATTACTCGACATTAATCTTTTAAGCGAATTAGCAACTTCAGTAATGTCCGGACGTCTCGATCTATTACTTTGCCAACAATCTATCAAAAAGACGATTTATTTCTTTATTTAAACATTGAAAGTTTAAGTAAGAATTTAATTAGATAACTACACACCAGTATATATTTGAATATACTTTTCTGGAGTTCCTGGAACATGTTCTTCTTTAACTTCATTCGCAAAGTCGAATACAAATAATGCGGCATCACGATTTCTGAATGGAGGATGCCCACTTGATAATTCCCATAAAAGCATTCCAATACAATAAATATCGACTTTTTTATCAGGAACATTATGAGATATCTCTTTGTACGCCATAAGACTTGTAGGTTGAAAATGTGGGTTTAAACTTATATTAATTAAATTCTTCGAAGGACCAAAATCGCAGATTTTAATATTATCTTGATGGACTAAAGTATTGAATGAATTCTTCATATATATGATTTGATTAATGTAAGTTATAGAATGTAATGAATTTTTTAAAGAAAATAATAGAAATTTAAAATAATTACAAGGTTCCCATGCACAATATTATGACTATGAAGGCACTTAATGGCGGAAGCGATTTGATAAGCAAGCTTAAATCTTTCATTCCATGTCAAAATTTTTGTATGTAAATATTCGCATAAAGTTCCATTATCAGCAAACTCAAACATCATCATATAATTTGATGGTGATACTAATAAAATCGAAAGTGAACAAAAGTCTTAAGGTAACAATATAAAATTAATTTTAATATAACTTACTTTCTGTAATCCCATAAAATCTGATAATGTTAGGGTGATGATTCACATTGACTAGTGATTCAATCTTTAAAACAAGTTATTGAACAGTTATGCAACTATTTTTATAATGACATTTATATTTACCTCTTTCAGAAGTTCATTTTCATTTTTAATATCCACTTGTTTCAAAGCAACGACCATATCATCATTTTCCGAAATAGCTCGAATTAATTCCTTATATGCACCAGTACCAACTCTTTCAATATTTGAAAACCTTGAACGTTCGTATTGTTTGATTTTCAAAGAGGTTTTATCAACCTGCTTAACACTAGGCTCCGTTTCCATTATTCGTTTATTTGTGCGTATAAAAAAATTTAAGTTTTGAAAGTTGATTAGGGTTTGTGATCATTTCGATTTATTGAAAAACCGGAAATACGAGCATCTAGACTTTTTTGGAACAATAGCAGTACATGTGTACTGTCCTGAAGAAATATTTCTACGTATGTGCGTACGTACGTCAAAATTGACATACGTACGTACACACGCAAGTCTATGGTTAATTTGTTATTGACCTTAATTATTATCGTGATGGAGTTTACTAATTTTCTCACTCTGATTATTCACACATCGGAGTATCTATTTTATTAGTCATTTTTAAGTACTCCGATAGTGAAGTTTAAATAGTCGATTTTTTGTATTATAATCGGTATTACGAATAGTAGTAATGTATGCTACACAAAAATCGCATCAGTGTATATTAGGGAGTTTCAAAGCGTACCGGAATTTAATTTTGACAGAAATACAGTCAGACCTTGGTATGGTCACGAAGTATAAAAATAATTATGTTATAATGCATAAGAAAATTAATCTCTGTATAGGCCTAGTGTTCCAAGTTGATCAAAATTTTATCAATCGGTTAGTTGCCAACTATAGTTGCAACTAACCGGTTACATATATTATGTGACCAATTTAATCGATTAGTTGGTTAGTTGATTGGTTGGTTAAGTTGATTGGTTGGTTAGTTGGTTAGTTGGTTAGTTGTATAACAAAAAAATAAAACTACATAATATTTTGGTAACAATATTAACTTGAATATAATTTTTTCCAAAAACCCAACCTTTTTTAACCCAATAAATTTACTATTTACATGATACGCAAAAAAATTTAAAAGTTGCACCAAGTTATCAATATTCGAACCTAGTTATATTTGATTAAAAGACTTAAATGTTTTGAATAATTTAAATTTTTAATTAATAGTACATTAAATGTATGTAAATTTATTTAATAAATTAGTAGTTTGGAGTTTGGCACTATTTACTGAAATAGGATATATATTTGGGTTTTGGTCATGAATCCAAATTAAGTAGAAATGTCGATTCCCAAACCCAAACTAAATAATAATGTTGTAATTTTAAAAAAAGATTTGGGTTACAATCTTAATTAACTGCCTATTGAGCAGATATAACAATTTTGAAAGCTGTTAATAAATGAGCTTGATTGATAAAAAACTTTAAACAAATTATAAATGTTATTTATACTTACAACTAAATCTTAAACAGTCTATGGAGTAAAATTTAATGTAAAATAAAAGTCATTCACAAATACTTATGAATGAAATAAGGAACCTGAAAATAATTATTTAATAATAAATAGATACTAAAATAAACTTAATTAAAGAATTAATCAAATAATTATAATAACTATTATACTTACCAGACTAATATGAGTTAAATGATCCAAAAGGCACTTTTAACTATAAAACTTATAAGCATGGGTTATTTAGGTTCCAACATTTATATTCACAATACAAATTTAGTAACCTGAGAAGTACTATTAAGATAGAAATGTTGATTGGATCATTAATTAATTTTAAGATTTTAAAAATAAATAACAAATTAAATCTTATACCTACTAATATAATGCAGATTAAATAATTCAAATAGTGTTGTATAAAAAGTAAGCACTACATAAGATTAATTCACAAAGAATAAGTATGATTAGTTCTTGGCACAATTAAACAAAATTTGACAGTCAAATACTTGTGATTAAGTTAGATATCAAACAAATTACAGATTAACTAATACTATATATACATATATATATATATTAATGTAGTATTCATTAATCTGCATTTGTTTAATGACTAACTTAATCACAAGTACTTAACTGTCAAATTTTTATTTGATTGTGCTAAGCACTAAGTAGGATAATAGAGGGTTTCAGAATAAACTTATTTTGAAAATAAGTAGATGTTTAAAAAAAATCATATTTTCTGTTTAAATTCCAAATCAGAAAATTAAATAAGTAATACTCAGATAATAAACATAGATTTTTTCAATAAATATCTTTAGTAAAAGATTATAAAAACAAGTATATACTTTAAAAAATATGATTTATAGATCACATGTTTTAAAATAAAATGTATCTATTTTATCTGAAATTAGATATTAAATTATTAATTCTGAAACCTAAATATAATAATTTTAATACATATCAAATTTAAATTAATGTGAATTAAAAGGCCTAAAGCACAAAAGAACTGTTTAAAATAAGTATTAGTAAGTGTGTATTGCAAACTTTAATAAATAAATTATTATATTTACCAAGTTCATGAGAAATAAATAAGCAGAAGCAGTTAAATAATGTTTAAAATTAAATAGAAGAATAAATAGTCTTTTATATCATAAAATTAACTGCTTAAATTATATATAGGATAAAATGTTTATAAGTATAATAAAGTTTAAATAATAATCAATTATCTAAACTAAAATTGAAAGTATATTTAACAAGTATACTTATGGGATTTTAAGTAAATAATAAACTATTCTTATATTATGCTATTTAATACAAATATTATAAGTAAGATGTCAATATAGTTATATAAATTTTATTTAAATATATTATAATAAAATGTTCAATATATAATAAATATTTAATATATAAAAAACATTTAAGTAAAAAAATATTTAAGTAGAAAAAACATCAATATTACTTATATTTTTTTTAAGAAATACTAATTGCTTTAATAGATCTGAGTTTAGCCTGTTATATTTATTCATTATATAATTGCTAATATCAGAAAATAAACATTCAGATGGAATGGAAAAAGCTGGCATTACAAAATATTATCTTGCTAAAATCACCAAAGTAGAAAAGAGAGCTTTGTGTTGGCACTATCAAGCCAGAGAACAAGATTCTTCTTCAAAGAAAATTTTAGATAGTTTACAATAATGGTCAAATTTGTTAGGTGCAACATTTTCTGTTTGTGAATAAGAAAAAAATGCTGCTATTTTAGATTTTTATGTTGATGCGATATTGGGATTGTATAATTATTATTAGTTGGTGCAGTATTATCATTAGTAGTTTGTGCTGAATTTATTTCATTAAATTGACAATGCATAATTTGGATCATTATGCAGTATAAATTACTAGTACAGAAATTTAATTGCTTAAACCATGTGTCAAGAAAAGAGCAGCACAGATCAACTTCACTTGGGTCTTCTCACTTTTCAATTAAATTATTCAAAATTGTGTCTTTAATAAAGATTGCTTCATTATTTTATTAAGTAAAATACTTGAGCTGATATGTAAGTTCTTTTAACATTGAAGTTTTAAAACCAAGTGTTGGGTATTTGAATCTACTTAAGAATTCCATTATTTCATTAAAAGGAAAATGATTACAATGAGTTCTTCCAATACTTTAAACTCTTCTTTTAAAAAAAAAAAACTCATTATTTTTGCTTTTTTTCTAAAATTTTTAAGAGTATGATTGTTAAAGTTTGAGTATAATTACATAATAGCAAGTTATAAATACATAAGACATTCAATAGAATAAAAGGTGAAGTTTTATCTGATGTTTGCATTTTTAATAACATCTAGTAGTTCTTTTAGTTCTGAAGTAATTTGCAACTAAGCTTTATGAAATTGCTTTCTTTTTTTTCTTTTAACAAAATAGAAACTAGTGATTTGCACTTTAAAATAAACTCATCGACTTGCTTTAGTTCTAAATTTGCACTTAATTGTAATGTATGCCTAGTGTACTTAACATTAGTAATGCTCATTTGTTATATAGCAGACTTGACATTCACTCTATTATTTATACATAGGTCAAATAAAACTATATCGGAGAAATATCAGAATGTTGATATTAATTAAAAATAGTATAAGGTAAATATGAAATTAAACAGATATTTAAAGCCAATATGTTACTGACAAGAAACAGAAATTTTGGCAGTAATTGAATACCTTTTAGTATAATTACAAACATATAGGAAAAGTATTAGTAAAAAATTCTAAAATTAAAAATAATATTAATTTACTAATATCTTTATCAAAAACTGATATTAACATTAATGTAAAATATTAGTATCTTTCAGGACACTTTTCAAAAGCATATCAGTAACTTTCAGAATACTTTTTAGATGTATATTAGTATATTGATATTCCTATCTAATTGCTAATAATTTTTTATATTTGTTATTACTTTACTGTATTAGTCATTACTAAAACATTTTTAATTAAAGCAATATGTTTATAAAATATTTTATTTATATTATTACAAAAGCAATATTACAATATAAAAAAAAGAAAATACAAAAGCAATGCAAAAATACTAATATATTCTTTCTAATTCAATAGCTTTTATATTCACTATCAGTAATAATGATACCTTCTTTAGTTCCTTCTTTATTTATACTGCTATTATTTGTAACATTATTATTTGTATCATCATTATTTGTGATATTATTATCTGTAACATTATTATATATGCCTTTATTATTTGTACCAATATTTCCAATATTACTATTGCCACTTTCTGTTACTTCTTCATCTTCTAATTCATATATTTCTTCTTCATCTTTATCTTCTTTATTTTGATTTTCAAAATGATATAAAGAAAATATGATCCAGAACAGGGCATTAGTTGGTGGCTTTGAATTATCAAACCAGCTCATATTATTGTAAAATCATTTTCTGATAAATTTAATGTATAAAATATTTCTACCCACTTGGTTAGCAAGCTGCATAATTTTTTTAACCTAAATTGCATAGAACAAAAAAATAAAATAATTTATAATTAGAATGAGAAAACTGCTATTAGCACTATCGATTTTTATATTTGTACTATAATATGTAGATCAAGATCAGACTTAGTAATGTTGAGAATATTGTATTTTTTTAATATTACACACTATGTTTCAATAGCAAAAGTATAGAAATTTCCTATAATGATAACAATTATAAAAATTACTTATCTGTCAGGATCTTTATCATTTATTCTTAACATAAAGTACATAATTATCTTCTTTATTTTTTTTTGATTTGGGTTGAATGTTCTGTTAGCA